AAGAAAAGACCACATTTTTTTTGGTAAAGCTATTCAAGAGGTTTGATACTCACAAACCGTGGATCTGCTGTTTGCCACCCTGTTTGCCATCCACATCCATCCCTGTTTGCTAGGATTTTCTATTTATTCTTATTTGTGGTCTAGCAGCTTTTTTTATTCTTTTGACAAATTTATTATACTTATATAATGATACTAGTATACACCAGTGCACCCGCATACAACTCCCTTAACTTTCTCCATTTGACTTGTTATGTGATTGGTTGTGGCATCATAGTTGACATTTTATGACTGGTCAATCTCTTTTCCCGTAGCAGTCATGGCATTTAAAATGCATTTTGTTTTGCCCACTAGCAAAACAGTTGAGGATATCTTGTAATAGACATTATTTAGATGCTATTTTATTGTTGTTTTTTATAAATACTTTTTATTAAACATTTTCCAACAATTTATAACATATCAACACTTTCAACAACGTTACAGCATCGTCAACATTCATATTCATATATTAGTTACTGTGTTACTTTTATATCTATTGTCCAACCAGGTATACCAGGCATCCCAGACCAGATAATACTCCAATTCACCTCTATCTTTTAACTAAGGTCAGCCTGTCCATCTCCGCGCAGTCCAAAATCTTTCTTATTACTGTCCCCTCAGATGGTATATTATCCTGTTTCCAGTACTGTACAGACACAATTCTGGCCACAGTTGTTATATGTAAAATGATGTATTTGTTTGTCTTAGTGTAGTCTCCCCTTATTATTCCCAATAAAAACAGTTCTGGTCTGAATTCAATTTTTTGTTTCATTATTTCCTCTATCCACATAGATATCCATAATTCTAATCCAGTTACTCTTGGCTTCCAAACATGTCCACCACATATGAAAAGGTGCCCTGTTTACTTTTGCATTTCCAACATTCTGGGCTTCTGGTTGGGAACAACTTTGCCAATCTAGCAGGGGGTAGGGGCCATCTATAAAATATTTTGTATATATTTACTTTATATGCTGCTGATAATGTTAATTTATAGTTTTCCCCCCACATTTTTCCCAATATTCTAATTCAATGCTGTATCCCAAATTTTCCCCCAACTATCAATTGTTTCTTTTACAATTTCTTCCTCCATTTTAAAGTTCAAAAGAAGGTTATATATTTTAGATATCATCTTCTCTTCCGTTCCCTGAATTATTTTATCTAATTGTTGTTGATCCTTATAAAATCCATATTCTTCTTTATCTTTTTTATATCTTGTCTGAATTTGCAAGTAGGGCCTCCAATTGATATCTATACCTTGTTGCTTTAGTTCTTGTGTTGTTCTCAGCCTTCCTTGTGAATCTATCAGTTCCTTTCTCATTTTATTTAAGTCCATTGCATTGGGGTATATCATCAAATCCATCATTGACAACCAGCCTGGTAAAGTGTAATGTTTCCCCCACCCCACCCCATACCTGAATAAGTGCGTCTCTGATCTGATGTTTTTGGAAATAAGAGTGATTTTTGCTTTTTCCATCCCATAAGAATCCATGCCACCCTAGTTGCAAATCATGTCCCTCCATTAATACTATTCTTTTATTATCCAAATTAATCCAATCTCTTATCCATGTCATGGATGCTGCCTGATAGCATAATTCCCAGTCCGGAAGTCCAAAGCCATCCCTCCTTCTTTTACCCTGCATTAATTTCATTTTAATTCTAGTTTTTTTTCCCCACCCACACAAATTTGGCTATTACTTTATTGAGCTCCTCAAAAAAGGGTTTTCCTAATTTTATTGGTATAGTTTGAAATAAATATAATAATTTCAGTAATATAATCATTTTGACTGCAGCAATTCTTCCAATTAGTGAAATCTGTAGTTTTCCCCATGTCTCCAGATGGTTTCTTAGTTGTAGTACTAATGTAAGGTTTCCAAGTGATGAAATCCATTTAAAAAGAAAAGAGCAAAGTCCGCCTTCCAAAACAATTTCTTTTGTTTAGGAAAGCATCAAATTGGCAAAGCCCATGGTAATTCCGGATCTGACACAATCCATAATTGCACCTAATAATATTGGAAATTAGAAACACCCCCCTCCCAAGAGTCACATTCCCCAATAGAAGTTAATCAATGTTGTCTGGTGCCATAAATCTCCACCTCTAGGTCTCAGCAGGGTCAGCTTTTGTTCCCACAGGAAAGAGAACCACCTAGCCTAAACAACACTCTCTATCTCCACTCCTCCCACCCTAAGAACCCAAAACCCTTCCCCCCATGACCAGCAAAGAGAAAGAAAGAAAAGAAATATATAATGAGGCTAAATAAAATGGCTACACATGTGTCAATTTTGGGCTTGACAACTAATTTACTATAATTGTTTTCCTTAATTGAGGAAATATTAAGATATTCCTAAATACTAAGATATTTTACCTTTTTAACTATCTGAATTTCCAATGTTTCCTTTTTCTGGGTGCCCGTAAGCTTTTTGACTAATATCTTTGTTTTATTTTTGTTTATTTTAAATCCTGCTTAGATGCTATTTTGTTCTGCTTTCCATACTTATTTTAAACTGCTTATACAATGTTGATTTTTGTAAAAACATTATTTTTAAAGGCAACTCTAAATACATCTATATTAGTAATTCCAGAATTTTATTCTAGAAATATTGTGCTAATAAATTTTATAAATCAATAAATAAATATAAATAAATAAATACAAGTAGTCTTCAACTCACAACAGTTCATTTAGTGACCGTTCAAAGTTAAAATAGGACTGAAAAAAAGTGACATGACCTTGTTTCACACTTACAGCAGCAGCCCTGTTCACATGATCAAAATTCAGGTGCTTGGCTATTGACTCATATTTATGACAATTGCTGTGTCCTGGGATCATGTTATCACCTTTTGTGACCAAAAGCAAAGTCAATGGGAAGCCCAATTCCCTTAACCATGTTACTAATTTAACACTGCAGCGATTCACTTAACCATTGTGGCAAGAAAGGTTATAAAATGAGCAAAATCACTTAACAAATGTCTCGCTTAGCAACAGAAATTTTGGTCTCAATTGTCATAAGTCAAGGACTATCTGTAAATAAGTTATAGATTTACCCCCATTATTTCTGGGGTAAACTAGATTTAGGATCCTTGAAAATACACCATTCCAGGCTTATTTCAGAGCCACCAGTCACTGAGGAGCTAAAGATGAATCTTTCCCTTTCATAACTCTGAGTTCTTCCACATCCTCTTGAAGAAAGTATCAAAGAATAATTCAGATGGAGAAGAATTTATTAAAGGAAAACAATTTTAATTATCTATGAAAAGCTGTTCTTTCAGTAATGAGAAATCCCAAGCAGGTTTCCATGCCACAGAGTTCAACATACTGCATGGGACCATTTGGGAAATGATCAAGTGGAACATACCCATTTGTTTTACCCCACATGTCACTGCCTTTGTTATTATAGTGTCAAAAGTTTCAATTCCCTTAAGAGCTCTTCAAAGGGATTCTAAGCCTGCTCAAGAGAGTTCTTTGAACAAAGCGTGATCTGTGCATTCAATCATAAGTCTGTAAAACCTGGCTTCAGAACTCTTAGAATATTACTTTCTTTTGGGATTTCACTTTGTTTTTTTTCATTTCAAGTGATTGATGCCCAATTTTTTAATCTTAACACTTCCCCCCCCCTTAAGTATAACTCTGAAACATAGCTTCAGCCATGACCCATTCAAGTTGTGGAAACATCAATTTGAATAACATAAGATATCTCTATGGCCAAGAGCAGAAATGGCGGAAAACTAAATATAAATTAATATTGTTGAGGTAACTTGGACTGAAGATTTCCAAGCTTGTTTTATGTACAGAATCACTTCATTAAGTTGTGCAACATAGTATAACTACACATTCAAGCTTTTTAGGTTTTATTATCAGGTTCAGACTTATATTAAACTAGCTCTATACCCGTGCTTCACCATGAAACTGTGATCGGGCTTAGTTTTGGGGGAGGAAAATAAAGGGGGGAAATTGTGCCTCTGCCTACCAGCATCCATCAGTATTTATCTGGCTAACATCCTGTCAGTGTGTGAGAGAGTTGAGGGCTATTTGGAAACTGAAACAGTATTTGCTGTGTGAGCAAGGAAAGAGCAAGGAGCCTGGGCGTGGCTTAGTCAACTGTTCTGTACTAAAGCTGGTTGCTGCTGTGAAACTAAAACTGAAAGTGAAACTCTTCTCTGCTTGTGTTTTGCATTTGGAACAGATTTTAGGTGGGGAGGGGGGTAGAACTCCTTAGCATCAGAGCCTGTTAATGATAATATATGAAATACTAATGCTCTGATGGTCGTTTCAAAAAATTCTTTCTTAGTGAGCATCTAGAAGCCAAGAGGAACATACCTTTCAAATTTCAAGTTTGTAGGGCTTTATGATTCTGGAGATATTGTGATGATGTGTGAGTGGTATTTCGCTTTTATTTATATAGATTGACTGTGAATAAGGATAGAATGGAAAATAAACAGTAATATATTCATGGTGGCATATGCTAACACGGTGTCTCTAAATATTACTCAAATGTATTTAGTAATTGAGGCTATCTGTTCAGTATGGTTTAATGCTATAAATTCTCAGTTTAGCTGTCTTCTGCTTGCTGCTATGATTCTTATTATAGGTCCTATAAAAGGAAAAACTATAATTTTAACATTCTTTCCAGAAAAATAACTTTATGATCATTAAGTGACCATAATGGCTATTTAAGAGATATAAAGCTTTCATGATCTCAAGCTGCTCAGGGTTTTCAAATGAAAAAGTGCATTTTTTCCCCTCTTCTTACGTTTGGGTCTCATATATATGTCAGTATTTGAGATCAATGATAACATGGGTTCATTAATTTTGAAACATGCAGACTTTTGTGAAATATAAAACAAAACTGATTTTTTTTACATTAATACAAGTATGTATATGAGACAATTAATCCCCTGACCAAACAGAATTGTAATGCACTAATCTATCTAGTTACATATGTTTTTTTTAAATCCATTCTTTCTATAGTATTTGTGGAATTCAACATCTGGAACGAGCAGGAAACAAGCTGACTCTCTTTGACTCCCTCTATTTCTGCATAGTGACATTTTCCACTGTAGGATTTGGGGATGTTACTCCCAAGATCTGGCCTTCCAAATTGCTGGTTGTAATTATGATCTGTGTTGCCCTTGTAGTATTACCAATACAGGTAAAACATTATTTTCTTTTTAAAAAGACTTAGAATAATAGCATTTTAATTTTGAATATTTGTAATGACTACACTTGTATTTTACATTATCATTTCAAAATATTCATTTATATATCTATTTCTTATCTACTTACAGTAGAGCACTAGTATAATTCACTTAATATAATGTAATATAGTATAATATACTATATAATTTGAACATTGGGCACCAGCTGGAACATTGGGTGCTACCTAACAAAATGAAATTGAATGGTGAGAAAAGTACACTTCTATATTTAGGCAAGAAAAACAAAATGCACAGGTATGGTATATGTGGTACCATGCTCAATAATAGTAACTGTGAGAGGGATCTTGGAGTTCTAGTGGACCATCATTTAAATATGAGCCAGCCACTGTTTCTACAAATATTTGTCCTTTTTAAATTTCTCCATCTATGTTATCTTTAGTAAACATTCTACTAAGCTACACTGGTTCATCTACATATTCTCTGCTTTTTTACTCTTTAGAAATGAGTAACAATTGTTCTATTTCTCTTGTCAAAAACAGCTTCCTTGGTCAGTGATATATTCATTTTCAAATCTATTCTCTTCCTTGCAAACTTCATCAGAAATCATTCAGGTTCTGATCAATAGTATCACATAATCTCCATGCAAGATTACATACACACTGATAATGTTATCTAGTTTGGATAAATGAAATGTTTGCAAGAAAACAATGAGCTCAGAGAGTATCAAGGGCCCCTTGTTTCAACCCTGAGCCGCAAATATTTCCCTCTATCAGAACACATATATTCACTTCCAAGTGTATGCTGTATGTATAACATTGAACCATTCACTAAAAAAACGACAGCAAACATAAAATAAATTTATCCATACTCATAAGTACCTCAATAATTTATTGAAGAGCAGAATTGCCTTACACAAGGACTGTCAAACTCACAGCCCACAGGCCAGATGAGTCATATACTGGCCACATCCATGCCCGGTTAGCGAGGGGTGGAAAGTTGCAATGTATCACGTGACGACGCAAGTTGGATACCTCTGCCTTACACACACTGCCTAGAAGAAAGCTGCACTTTAAAATCAGAATTCTGCCAAATTGCTAACATTCCAAAACAGACTACAAATTCTGTCAAAATTGTCCTGCATTTTCTATGCCTCTTTAATCTTAACCATTGCTAGACTTTTTGAGTACATTGTTTACAACAATTTTTTCCCTATGAACTAGACATTTTATCACTACACCAAATCCATTTTTATTTCTATTTCCAGAATCCCATCTATTTTTGTGATGTTTAGTAATTTAATTCTTTTGGGTCTGTTTCATGCAGCTTCCTGAACAACTTGCATCTGTCTTCCATTCTAATGGCTCACCATCTAATAATCATCTATGACTGTGATGTTCTTTAAAAAAACGTGGTTTTTTTTTACTTTGATTAATTAATAAACAAAGCATTATTAGGACAATACAAGCCATGATTCCTTTTTAGGGGTAGTCTTCTCTGAGACTAAATCTTGACTCTCTTCATCAACAAGGGAGCCAAGTCAAAGTGAGTGCATGTACAAATTTACTGTTTAAATTAATAAATTACAGCTAAGATTTTTTTTTTAAACAAGTTTTATTAATTTTCAAAACAGACAAGTCATCATTTTCCATTACATGTTTAAACCTTTTTCCATTATAAATTTAACAAGTCAGGTAAACTATAATTCTATTGTAAACCATTTCCATATAAACATACAAAAACCTCTTATCCAATTTCCCTTTATTTCTCTTCACTCTTATTCAATTTTATTATTATTATTTCATCTACTTCTTTCTGACTTAGTTACCATTATTCTCATTCTATATTTCTACAAGGTTTTATTAATTTCCCCCCCAAAAAAACAACATAATCACACAACACACAAAACATATAAAAGATCTTTTTGGAAAGTAACTTGGACCCAGGTATCTCTCTTTTCATGGACTTCAATTATATTCAGGCTCATCTTACATATCATTACTTATTTTATTTACCATTCTAAGTCTTCTATATTAACTTCTCCACACATTTCACTCTTCTTGATTCTATCTTAATTAATCATCTTAATTTGAGTCATTATATTTATATCTTTTGTCCATTCTCTATTATACCTTTGTCTCATTCCTTTTAAAAAGAAAGAAATTTCTCCTGAAATCACTAATCAGAGTATGATGCCTTTCTATCTCCCCACTAAATTAATCAAATTAATCTTTAAAATACCCAATCCGATTTTGCTTGGTACATTCTAACTGAATAATACATCTAAAACAATTAAATACATAGTTAAGCAATAGATTTAAATATTAAAAACAAAATACTATAATGAAAGTTTTATAATAACATCAATACCATAATCTTAATAAACTCTTTAATTAAAGTTTAATATTCTAAATCTCCCCTCATATTATATTTTCAAACCAATCATTATTAACATTCCAACATTTTAATCTCTTATCAACTCTCAAGCCATTTAAATTTTCTATTTCTGATACAATACTACAATATCATCTTATGTACCTTGCAAAATCTCTTTGAAGAAATTATACTTATCCTTTATCCCTAAAAAAAATTTCTTTTTTCTCATTTAATTTCAAAACTTTGTAACTTTTCTCCACCTTTTCCCTTTCTTTCTTCCCCCAACAAACCTTTCTAGCCCCCCTTCTAGCCCCCCTTCTTCTAGCCTCTGCCTTACTGGCTTCCCTTCTCTGTCGCATTCCTCTTCCCTTTTGTTTACCATCCTTATCTTGATTTTGCACCTTGTTTTTCCCTTTCTTAAATGTTTTTTTAAATCTTAAGTCCTTTATTTCTCTTCTTTTTCCTCTTCCTTCCCTCTTGGTCGAGTTCTGAGATTTATTAAAGATGGCTTCCTTTCTTTGTTCTTCTTCTGCTGTCTTCATCTGTTGCAATGTTTGTTGATAATTAATAAGCGCCATTTCTAAAAAAAGGAAGGCTTCTTTCAAACCAGCTTTACCATTTTGTTTTGCTTGCTCATAGTCTTTTCTCAGTTCCTCGATAGAAGAAGCCATTATAAATCTTTTCTTTTCTTTTCTCTTACACCAGCCAGAATATTCCAAAGGAAAAATAAGACAATCCCAAAGTTCTCAGTCAGTCCAAACCAAGACAGAGTTCCCACTCTCTCCTCCTGGGGTAGTATCAATTAAAGAAAAGGAAAGTCCAAATCTGTTTCTTAAAGTCTTATTACAATATATTTTAGTCTTTCAATCCTTAAGGCATCTCCTCCAACAAGGTCTTAGCATACAAATATTTTTTTTAAGTCCTCTCTTTTCCCACTCACCGCTTAGAGCCAGTTTTCACCTAAAAAAAAATAGGTTTCTTAATGTTCACTTTTTATTCCGTAAAAAAAGAGGGTAAGCTATCCTTTCAGCACCATTAAACTGCCGCTTTTTTCCTCTTCTCGAAGGTATCATTCAGAAAGTCATACTTTTCAGGAATTTTGTTAAATATGTCTTAGAGTCCTAGGAACCAAGAAAGACTTTCTCCTCTCAAGCACTTTCTCCACTTCCTCCTGCGCATTCTTACCCGGCTGCCAGCTTCTTTGTGGCGGCCATTACGGACCGCCGCTGCACCGTCCTGGGAAAAGGGGGTTCTGCCAGCGGGGGAGGGGGTCTGCAACACCCCCAAACCCTTCTCCGGATCCCCCCTACCTTCAGCTGCCCCTGCAGGGCAACCTAGCTCCGTACCCGGTCAGAGCCCCAAAAACGGCTAGCGCGGCAGGGATCGCGCAGCTTCGCAAATCCCTGCCGCTCGCGAAGCCGACAAACCGGAAACTCCTCACAGCTAAGATTTTTACAGAAGAACCAAAAAAGCCAACATACTGCTGCCCACATTCAGCTAATTAGAAAGTACAGTATATGTGATATGGTAATGCACATTAATATTCAAGTGTGTTTTGCTGAAATGTGTACTGCTAGGTTATTCTTTTTTCACTTATTATATATTCTTTATGTGAGATATTGCTACAAGCCATATTAAATTAAATCACAACAAACAAATATCTAGACCAAAGATGGTGAACAATGGCCCCTTTATGACTTGTGGACTTCAACTCCCAGAATTCCTGAGCCATTGTTCCCCACCTCAATCTAGACAGTTGGACTATATGGTTTTTATCATCTCCTTGTTGACTTCTTGAGGCCATACTTCATCTTGAAATTTATTTTATTGCAGTTTGAGCAACTGGCTTATTTGTGGATGGAAAGACAAAAATCAGGTGGAAATTATAGCCGACATAGAGCTCAGACAGAGAAACATGTTGTTTTGTGTGTCAGTTCTCTTAAGATTGACCTGCTTATGGATTTTCTAAATGAATTCTATGCTCATCCTAGGCTCCAGGTAAGTCCAGCAGATCAGCATTTATCTAAATTCAGCCAGAAATATTCACATTTTTTTAACATTTTTATTTCACATATGACTGAAATCTTAGCAGTATCATGGGTCACAGACTTATATCTGTAAAATGTAAGTTACTCTAAAATTTAGGAAAGGGCTATAAAACATCCAGCACTTCTTTTTACTAGACTTATGTTGTTTCTTTAGAGCCAATTCTGAGCCTTTTTTAATGATTAATGAGATCTATGTAGTAGCCACCGAAGCTGACATTTTCTGCTGTTGAACATAGATTCCTTTTCAGTGTGCGTAATGCTTAACATTTTTTGCCAGAGGAAGTGATTTAAACTCATCTCTGCATGAGGCTAAGCATTACATGTTGATATCTTGCAGAGCAACTTTGGCATCAATAAAATCATTATTGAAATAAATAGCAGGAACACTTTTCTTTTTTAGAAAGGTTAAAAAATAAATTATCCTTCAACTATCCTTCTCTCAACTCTTAAGTTTTTCCAAGATAAATTTTAAATGGAAATATCCATGAAATATAACCATGTAATATTTCTTCTGGTTCTCGTTGATTCTTACAACATGCATTTTTATAGGACTACTATGTGGTTATATTGTGTCCCACGGAGATGGATGTTCAGGTTCGAAGAGTGCTTCAAATTCCCATGTGGTCCCAAAGGGTTATCTACTTGCAAGGTTCAGCACTGAAGGATCAAGATCTCCTGAGAGCTAAGTAGGTACCAAACAATATATATATATATTTATTGATAATTATGATCTTACCATAAAACTAATTCACCAAAGGACTCTTTCACATTTACTGGATATCCCAGAGAACATTTGTTGCATGCTTGTCCAGGGTCACTGAGAGGGAGATGGGCAGCCTTCAATTTAACAAATAAACAAATAATGATAAACACATTTAATTAAAGACATTTCTTTGTGCTTCTTATCAGCTGTGTTCCTTCCAACTGTTTTGGAAATTTACTTCTGAACAGAAATTATCAGAGCTCACATAAGTCTGTCTCCAACAATCTCATATTTTGGGGGTTGACAAATTCTATTGTCAAAAATAAAGATTCACTTTTAATTTATAACTATGGAAGCTTTCCTTTCATTTTAAACATTTCATTGCAAGATGAAACTCTAACTCATTAAGAGAAATTCAATTAATGAACTAAAGAATGGACACATACATTATTTCTTTAGATCATATACAAGTAAGCAATAAATTTTAGGTATCTTTCCCTTCCCCCATCCTTTTTTCTTTTCCCATTCAGCCTCCTATTGTCTTTCCCTAATGAAATCCACTATTTTCCTATATAGTGCAATCTTAGATTTCTTCCAATGTTTTTTTTTTTAATTAAAAGTTTACACCTTCTTTGAAAGTCCCTGGAGCAAACATTCATTGAAGTTTCACTATGTTGTTTTCCTTATTTTATTTTAATTTTAATTTTAAAAATAAAGTTTATTTAAGTTTCTTATATTTAAAACATTTAAAAAGAAACAAACAAACATAAACAAATATATATACATATATACATTTTGCAGCAGGTATTGAACATTGGTTACATTTTTCTTTTCTTTTTTTCTTCTACCCCATAACATTGACGTGATCTACCTTGTTATAATACGTTCCTCGTTCTTTTAATGTTTTAATTTCACAGAACACTTTATAGTTAAACGCACGTCCTTCATAGTTTCATTACTTATTCAGTTGTCAAATGTTGCTTTTTCTTTAACCATTCATACCAACAGTTCCAAACTTTGTAGTATTCACTATCTTTGTTGTTTTTTAGTAATTTGGTTAGGCTGTCCATCTCTGCACACTCATGAATTTTTTTAATGACCGTCTCCTCTGAAGGGACAATAGACAGTTTCCAATTCTGAGCATAGCTTATTCTGGCTGCCATTATAATGTGCAAGATTAAATGTTGATTTTTTTTCCCCTATTTTTGAGTCTATCATACCCAGCAAAAAGGTTTCAGGTTCAAGTTTTACTTCTTGTTTAGTTATATTTAGAATCCAATTTTTGATGTTTTTCCAAAATTTCTGGGCATATGGACATGTCCACCACATATGAAAGTATGTTCTCTGGATGCAGTTGCACTTCCAACAATTTGGGGGGAGGTTCGGGAACATCTTAGCCAGTCTCGCGGGTGGCAAGTGCCAACAATACAGCATTTTATAGAGATTCTCTTTGTACGAGGCTGACATAGTTAGTTTGTAATTTATTTCCCAGATATGTTCCCACTTGTCTAATTCAATACTGTGGCCCACATTTTTTGCCCAAATTATCATACACTCTTTGACTGTTTCTTCTTTTAATTTATAATCCAATAGATATTTATATATTTTACTAATCAATTTCCTTTCCTCTCCATGCCAAATCTTATCTAATTCTTGGTAGATCATATTAAAACCAAATTGTTCTTTATCTTTTTTGTAATGTGTTTGTATCTGCGCATAGGACCACCGTGCTATCTCTTTTCCTTGTATTTGTATTTGATTCCTACCCTTTAACTCTCCAGTTTGATGTAATAGATCTTTATATCTTACAATATTATCAAAATCTAAAATGTTTGGGTGTGTAACTTTTTTATCTTTTCCCAAATAGTTAATAACACACTCCTTATATAATGCCTTTGAAAGTACAAGTGGTGTTTACTCTTTCCATCCCACATAAATGTGTGCCATCCAAGTTGGAGATCAAAGCCCTCTAATGTTAAGATCCTTTTATTTATCAAATTAACCCAGTCTTTGAGCCAGGTTGCTATCGCAGCATAGTAGTATGTTTTGAAATCTGGAAGACCAAAGCCTCCTTTCTTTCTATCATCCTGTAATAATTTAAATTTTATTCCGTTTTTTTCCCCTGCCATATAAATTTGGATATATGTTTATTTAGTTCTTCAAAAAAGCTTTTTTCCAACTTGACTGGCACCGTCTGAAATAAGAATTTTTTTTTGGCAAAATATTCATTTTTACTATTGCAATACGGCCTAATAGAGATATTTGCAATTTAGCCCAATTATCTAAGTCTTTAAATATTTGAATTGTTAATTTATTGTAATTATCTTTTTTAATTGACGAGCACCTAGCTGTCAGCTATATCCCCAGATATTTTACTTTATTTACCACCTGTATCCCTAATCTCTTTGTTAGTTCTTCCTTTTGTTCATTTGTACAATTTTTTGTTATCACTTTTGCTTTTTCTTTATTAATTTTTAACCCTGCTACCTTTCCATATTGTTCTATTTCTTTCATCAAAATGGGTGTCGTTTCCAGGGGAACTTCCACTATAAATGCCATATTATTAGCAAATGCTTGAAGTTTGTACTCCTCTTTTTTAACCTTTAACCCCCTGATCTCTTTGATTTTGTCGGATTTGTACCAGTAGTGTCTCTTCTGCTAATATATAAAGTAGGGGAGCCAAGGGGCATCCTTGTCTTACACCCTTATTTATCCTTATATTATCTGTATTTTCCCCATTTATTAATATTTTTGCAGTTTGGGTATTATATATTGTTTTAATGAATCCTATTTTTTTTTTTTGCCAAATTTCATGCCTGTCAATTGTTTAATAAGAAAATTCCAATTCAAATTGTCAAAAGCCTTCTGAGCGTCTAAAAACATCAGTGCCCATTGTTTTAGTTGTGTTAGTTAGTTGTGTTAGTTAGAATTCTAAAACATCCATAATTATTCTTTTATTTGTCTTCATTTGTCTATTTGGCAGAAACCCATTCTGGTCAGTATGAATAATCCTACTTAATATTTTTTTTAATCTTTCCACCAATATTGTGGCCAAAATCTTATAATCTACGTTTAAAAGTGATATTGGCCTGTAATTCTGAATTTTTTGTGGGTCTGATTGCTCTTTGTGAATAAGGGTTATATCAGCACTATCCAAGCCTTCATTATATAAGTCTGTCATTAACTCCTCCAATAACTCTTGAAACTCCTTATAGAATTCAGATGGAATTCCATCCGGGTCCAGGGTTTTATTTGGTTTTTAGGCTCCAATTGCCTTTCTAATTTCTTCTGTGGATATTTTACAATTTAAAATACATTTCTCTTCATCCATAATTTGCGGTAAAAAAATTTTCCCTTCAGATATTTATTAATAAGTTCTTCTGGTACTACTTCTTGATTGTATAGATTTATAAAAAAGTCCTTGGCAATATCTTTCTTTTCCTTAGCCTGAGTACATACTTTCTTTTCTTGGTCTTGGAGAGCTACAATCGTTCTTTTTCCTTTTTCTTTTTTTATTTTATTTTAACCATCTCCCTGGCTTATTTGCATTTTCAAAATAATTTTGTTTTACTAATTTAACTTTTCGGGCCAGGTCTTCCTGCATACTTAAATTTATCTTATGTTTTACCAAATCTATTTCTTTATTAATATTTTGATTATTCGGATCAATTTGTCTACTTACTTCTAAATCTTTAAGGTTCTCTCTCCATACATTTTGTTGTTGCCTTTTTTCTTTATTCTTTTTAATACTATAGCCAATAGTTAAACCTCTCATGTAAGCTTTTGTTGTATCCCAGAGGTTTTGAAGGGACCTATGTTCTCTCTTATTTATTTCAAGAAATATTTTCAATTCTTTTTTCACCATTTCAATATATTCATTATCTTTTAGTATACTATTATTAAATGTCCATCTTCCAATCATTTTCTTTCTTTCCACTTAATTTGAATAGGATTATGATCAGCCCATACATTTGGCAAGATCTCTATATTTTCAATGTTTTCCATTAAGCCTGGGTCCATCCATATCTGATCTATTGTAGACCAAGAGTGATGGGGATTGGAAAAGAAAGTATATTGCTTTTTAGTTGGATATAGTTCTCTCCACACATCCTTCAAATTTAATTCCCTCACCATATTATTAAAAGAAGATGGGAATAGTCTCCTTTTATTTTTATTTTTTTGGAGCTTTTATAGTCTTTGTCCTTGTCTGAAACAGCATTTAAATCTCCTACAATACATACACTTGTATATTCAGTTTCTACTATCTTGTGATGGAGTTTATTATAGAATTCTTTTTGATTGACATTCGTGGCATATACTGTAACTAAAAAAATCTTTTTCTGGTTTAATATTATTTCTATAAATAACATTCTTCCTTCATCATCCTTGTATACTTGTTTGTGTTGCAGCCAATCTTTTATATATACTACGACACTCCTTTTTCTTTGATTTGAAAGAGCCCAATACATTTTTCCCAAATTGGTATCCTTTAGGAGGTCTGCCTGTTTATGATATGTACTTCTTGTATACAAGTTATGTCTGCATTTTGTTTTTTAAGTTTTTCAAATGACTGTTTTCTTTTTAATGTTGAGTTTAAACCATTGATATTAACTGAAAATAGGGTGATTTCTCTGTTCATGTTACTGTCTGTGTAGAGCATTTTTTGTTTCTTTTCTTGTTCTGGGTTCTCTTGTACTTGGTCTGTTGTCCTCACCTTCTCTAAGTTTCTGAGATTCTGACTGGTGCAAGTTCTTTCTCTTCAGAGAGTTGTTCTTCCTGACTTCTTGTATTTAAATCTTCTCCACTTTCACATTCTTCCTCAGGTCCCAGATATTGTTTGCAAAATTGATGTGCTTTCTCTATTGTATCAATTTTGTATTTTTTATCCTGCCATGTTACTAGGAGCCCTTCCGGGGTGAGCCATCTGACTGATATACCATTCTTAATTAACTGAGATGACAAAAACTGGTAGCCCCTTCTTTG